GTATTATTATTTCGTTGAACATTGTGTTTCAATCAGAGGGTACAACATTATTTATTAATTACCAAAAAACCATTAATATACAATTATTATTTTTTACTGAAGTCTGGAATGATGTTGAAGACATGATCATCCGCTGATCCGAAAAGTTCAATCGATTGCGCTCTTTAATTTATTTAATTTTCTATACCCGCGTATTTTTTATAGAATGGGATACTTTCTTTCTCGATATCGACAAATTTATAGTTGACGCCCGTGCACACGATGTACCTGTCTATATAAGAAGTTGGATGAGCTACAAAACCGTTCACCAAAGGCGGTATGCCCTTGCATTCTCCGTCGGCGTCCCAAATGCCATGACGCTCCCTCTTATTCTTCTTCTCCCTCTCGTATTCATCTCCTTATAGCGACCTGAAGTAGTGAATACCCTGGTGAATCGTGCCGCATTGTCTCGTACCATCGAGAATGTACGTATCGAGGCGCACCGCGACCTGCCACGGATCCCCCTTGGTGATCTTTGTTTATTGCACTCGTGCCCACACGTTTGCATAATTTCAATCACGATGCCAAATAGGACACCCTTGCGAAGGGAACGATTCAGTTTCACTCATTTCTTCATCAAATTCGTGGGATTGAAACGGCACCACCTGGCGGTGGCGTCCCTGTACTAAAATCCAAGAATTCAGGTTAGGACAGATTTTCAGAGATTATCTCAAGAATCGGCGAACGATGACATTACGCTCACTCATTACCAATTTATCCTGTTAAATCTCGATCTCTCCTGTCTGAGTTTTCCGGAGAATGACCGCGCACGGATGCGATTATGTAAAACACGATTTGGAACAATGAGTCTCGTGCTCCGCAATACCCATGATAAAGGATGAACGTCAGAGTTCTCCAACCCATTGCGTCACTCGGTAATTAATCGATAATAATTATAATTAGAGAAATCGCTGGGAAGTGATAGTTTTATTGGCACTTCTGACCTCTACCCGGTGGGTTAAGACGCCTCACGCTGGGAAAATTGCATTACCCTCGAAATTCTCTCAATATCTCTGACGTCTTCATGATTTCACGCAGCAGAATAACCACTCGGTAATTAACGATTAATAATTCCGTCACAAGGCCAAGGGTTTCTTATTAGCCATAAATTATCGGTCACGGTCAGTAATCACGGGATTCATTAAAATCGAATGCTATTTTGCGTTTTTATCTTGGGAACAATAATTCCGATGCTAATAATCAATAATTAACGATTGATATGTGTTAATAAATTCCAGATCAATACGATCATCAGGAATGCGTCGAACGGTTAAATCGACATTTTTATCATGATCGATGAATATATTCTGTAGAGTGTATTTTTTATTTTCATAAAAAAAAATATTCAAGTAGGATCAATCATTTATTTCACCCACATCCTGGGGTAGCGGCGAGCCCCAGCTGTTTCAGCTGCCACCGGAATTTAAAATACTCGCGAATAAAGATAAGATTTATGCTCATTCTGCCCCGTATAATTGCCCTCATGTATGACGAATCGGCGACGACTCGTTCCAGGGAGTGTCCAGCATTCCCTCAGCCACCCAGGAAATGCTTGCTCCTGATACCCAACGACTTCTCTTTATTATCATTGTTCCTGTTCTAAACGTTAACAATGTTCGGTATTGAATTAACAGCATCGAATGATCATGATCGCAATGATTTATGAATGGACAGTAATGATAATGTTACTTAACCCGAGTTGATTTGGTTGGTGCTTATCGGGGAAAATGATTATGTAATTTTTTTTACGAGTGAGCGCTGATTGAGGAAGAGTTTTGCGATGTGAATGAGCTATAATGGAAACTAGAAGTGTAAATTAGTCCTGGAGGACTCACCCCGGGCGGAGGGAGAGTGCATTATTCCAGGCGTGAAAGATAACGGATAAGTACTGGCATTTGAATGCCACTGGGGTATCTAGGTGGAAGTGTATCAAAGAGCCCAACGCGTGACTGACCCGATCTCCATCCTCGTTAACGATTTGGTGAGATTCAAATGCCAGATCGTAGAAAGCAGCGAGAAAATCCTCGGATTGTTTCGATTCTCTTGGTGTCTCTGGGTGTAGTCCTCTGGTCGATCGCCTCATCGGGAAATCATGACGACACACCCGCGAGTGAAAGTGAAATAAAAAACAACATCAGGTTCAATGGCCAGCCGAATTTCCATATAAACATGGAGCGACATCAGGAGAATAATTTGAAATAATATAAGCATAAATTCGGGGTTATGAGAGACAGTGTGAGAGTTACAGGGACGCCACCGCTAGGTTGCGCTGATTCAATAAATAAATCATTCGATGAAGTGTTACCTAACGATTCACATCATTGCAATAGACCTGAAAGGACAATTAGAGCACCGATCATACTCATTCCTCAGCCGTCATTACTGATTCTCGGTCAGTGCATCGAGTGCATCGACAATGACTCCCGTTACTCACATGTAACTCGGGTTGGTGTAATGATCGCGTCATTACTGGCCTGTGGTCACCACATCATGCGTACCGATGTGCAACAAGGTCATCCACCCACGGAGCCCCAAGGTCACGATGTCATGACAATCCATCGGCTTTCACACTGACAGTTCCCACGCTGGAGTCCATTTCAATTCCAGTGACTCATTGTTGCAATTAATGATCTCCATTCTGAGAGACTTGATGCGTTTGTAAATTAAAAATACGACGAGTATAGAGAAAATAATGGCGGAATAATGGAAATAATCATCCACTCATCGAGACGTGTTTTTCTACATTTTTTTTTTATCTGAGACATGGGATCCAAGTGCTCCTGTTACTCTGGGGATTGTATAATACTTTCCCAGCGAGGGTGACCCCTGAACCCGCGGTAACTCGTCGCGTCAACAATCCGATTCGCGGGTGAAATTCGCGAGTGATTGAAGGCGGTACAATTTTTTTGTTTCTGTTATTGAGTATTGAATCAGCGGGGGCGAGAGAATGTGATCAATTTAATAGGAAAGTTGGTCAATAATTAATAGTGATCTATGGGTACCGCAATCGTTTTTTTTTTCGATGGGAAAAATGTTGAGAAGGAAATAGTCTTAATTGGTGATTGACAGGATTAGAAGGTACGTAATGATTGAATAATTGAGTAATTAAAAAAAAATGTTTGGTTCAGCGATTACCGCAGCATCTCGAGGCTCAACCGATGGAAAGATAGAAATCCGTCGATAATCCGCGGAGAACTTATCGACTCAGATAAATCGGCAAATGATCCGCGGCAATTACCATTTGTGGCAGTCAGTAAGATCACTATCTGCTATATCGTGGAGTGGTAAATATAAAATATATTCAGAAGAAAAAATTATTGAATTTCCCGTGTCAAAATATTTCCACATGCACTAGACTTTTCGCGTCCACAGAAAAAAAAATTTCTTCCGCCAAATATATTTTCCTCTCACCAGTAAATCTGAAAATCACTGTATAAATATTCCATAAGCTTTACTAATTGTAATTGTAATTATAAGACTCGGTAATCTCCGTGTAACGATCTCGTTATCTCAATGGATATATATGCGTAAATAAACATAGGAGTTCGTTCATTCAGGAATTGCAAAAATATGACATTTCTGAGCAATCGCTCGGTGGATATTTTCAATTAAAAAAGTGATTAAGACACTATCAACAGGTGAATCACACGGTAATCCAAAGTAGCTTTGGGATATCTCCTTCGAATTCCTCTGCATTAATTCGCTCACAGTTGGGAATTATTCTTGACACAGTTATTTAAATATCAATTAAAAAGCATCAATTAGTCTTTCAACCGTAATAATCGGGAAATAGTTTATTTTGTATAAAAAGCAATAAATAACTATTCACTACATGGCAATAAATTAATACATATCATTAATTAATACTGCACGAATCTAATGACGTCATGTTTTATCGTTATTATAAAATGCCAGAGACAATATGAACTAATTAACATTTTCGGTTATTTAAGGCACATTCGGCTGATCTTCGAATCCAAAAATTAGTTCACGCGTCACCTACTCCACTAATTGGTCAATGAATACTCAATAAATACTTTATCGTTGTAAAAAAATACAGCAGTCCCCAAATTTAATAAATAGAAACTAATAATTACCTATCGGTGGCCTCAGATACTCCGACATGTCGAGTATCAGTCAATACCTTTGAATAAGTCCGCAATAAAGATTACGGAGTGCAGGGTATTCCCTGATCTGAGACGCTAAAATTATCCGTCACGGGGAATGACTTCAAACTTTTGCCTTCTCGGAAAATATTGTGATATGCAGCGGCAATACCAATACCGCGTATGAATAGACAAACATTTGTGCCACTGTCTCAATTTTTGAGACGTTTCAATATTTCAATGGCCTGTCTCAAAATTTTTTACTGTTTTAAAATTCTGAGACACCTAGAATTAAAATCCTTCAACCCTTTGAATTCTGTCCCAGAAATCGCTGCCCCCACATCATTGACCGTTTCAATTCCTAATCCCAGTGTAAACTCATTATCCACCCGTATGCTAAACCAATTTGCGTCAATGCACGGGAGGCTGTTCATTTCATTTTTTGCCGATGCGTTCACCGGTCGTCACTTGCATCGAAATTTACATTGCAGAAAAAAAAAATCCACTGTTAAGATGTCATCGATATCGAATCTATAAATAGTGCACGTCCGAGGTGTTCTGGTATGAGAAGGGCGGGTGCGATAAAGAGCGTGAAAATATCGACTAGAAAATTTTTCCAAAATAATCGGTAAAAATCTAGTAGTCGAGGACATGCCTCCAGGCGTGAAGGTAGTCCTTGTACTTGAGGAGGACACCCCAGTCCCGGATTAGTCTCCTCGTCTCGTCAACAGGCTCTCTCTGGATTGCTGTCATTATACCCCTGGAGACCCTCCCCGGGAGATTAATCCCCGGAAGTGTAACAATTACACTTTCCACTTCGCACAGCAGCATCTGGAGATACGACTGCGTACTCCTGAGGGCAGTCAAGATCTTCTCCGACGGCTCGTCGTCGATCAACTCCTCGATTGCCACCGCAAACTTCTGGAGGTCCAAGTGAAATTTCGGCAGGTGATTGGCAATCTGCGGACAAAAAGAATTTCATTCAAATACCCGGGTGTCCCAAATTTTATTCCACCCTCCCAAAATCATTCAAGTGTCTTAAATTGATTTTAACCCAGCTTTAAAACTTCATCGCATATTTTTTCGTCTCGCGTCATTCCGCATTGTCCCAAATTGTGTCAATGTGTCCCAATAATGTCCTGAATTTCTGCGTCTTAATTCAGGTGACAGGGCGACAGGGCAACAGGGCAACAGTGCAACATGGCGACAGGGTGACGGTGTCAACACGAATAAACGGTGAAATAAATTCAATCGTCCCAATTATCCACGGGTGGGAGAGGGTAACGAGGTGTAGAATAATCAACTGTCTATCACCTCGTGTTATCGGTGGCAAAAACCGCACGAGACAGGCGCACGATTACGCAGTTGCACAACCCGGCGAGCATGAAGTATCGTATTGCCTCTGCGCGCGCTACATTATATCGAACCGACCACCCGGGCTTATGTTACCCTGGTACTTTATAATAATTACTGTCTCATTAAAATTTTGTTATTTAACGTTAATCAATCATGTTGGAATTGCAATCGTCCGTATGGTTGTGAGAATATTTTTGCATTCTCGTGGCTTGAGTGGATGGACAATGAGCAAATCGTGGGGATTCTCCGGCAACTCGCCTCCATGAATATTAATGGGAAGTTATCGAGAAAAGGGGAGAAAGTTAATCGTGATAATTTGGGGAGTAATGGGTAGCCTCGGTCGGAGGGGAGGGCATTGAATTGAGACATTTCGAGACATTTTGAGACATTTTTTAATATTTTTAATTTTAATGACTTCCGAATATTCTTGAGACTTACCACAACTGACATTTAGGAATTTTTTTTTCTCAATTTAATTCACTATTTTGGGCCAGATTGTGAAGGATGAAAATTACTTACGGTTTGTGGGTCTTTTCCAGCCAATCCCCTGGTGTTATCGACATCCTGCTTCCCCGGGATCCAGTTTGGAATGTACTGATGCTTGTGAACCCCTTTCTTCACCCGTTCATAAAGAAACTCGTAATCTCGGCTGAGATAATCATTGAGGGTGAGTTCATGCTGGAGCCTGAGCCTAATCAGGACAGACCTGAGCTCCTCAACGGTATCCTCAGCTGGAATGATCTCATTATCACTAACTTCACCACACGGCAGATGCCAGAATGGCTTAACCGATCTCTCATTTTTGTCTGGAGCAGCTGGAGCTGCTGTCACTGTCGCGATAATGACAGAAATAATGACAATCTTTACAGCAGACATTTTCGTTTTCAATCCTGTTATCTGGTTGGATAGATACTTCGAGGGACTTGATTGAAGAATTATTTTTTATTGATATGGTTGATTTGATACCGATCTATTGATGCTCCGCGGATCGATGATGATCGCAAACTGGGATTGTCAAACCCTCGTGCTTCCTCTTTTATATATGCCATAGTGTAAACAAATCGTACATACGTACGAACGTTGAGTGTCTCTATCGGTATCTGTGGGAAAAAATATTGACAGGAGGAGGGGATGCTGCTGTGCTTTTTCGCGCGGCCCGCGTCAGACCAACCGACTGGGGGGCACCTCGTCATCCGAAAAATATTCACGTTTCAACGATTTCGAGATGAAGATAGCACTCGGTGTCTTGGTCCACTGAATCCAGAGCAATCGATTTAATTTAATTAATAACTCAATTAAATTGTCAGCGCAGTGTCTCATTCGAGGGCGATCTAGAAAAAATGCCGATAATAATAATAATCTCGTGTGGGGGTACCGGCGTAAAAAAAAATTTTAATCGGAATATTTTTTTCAAATTTTCAAAAAATTTCGGGAAAACTTTTCAGACAATTTTTTTTGTGAAAAAAATTAGAAAACTGAACAGTTTTAATTTTGGAAAGGTTTTGAAAAATTTTTCAAAAATTTGAATAGAATATTTTTTTTATAATTCAGATGGCGTTTTTCTTTGAGAATATCGAAAAATAAAAAAAGTAAGAAAATAACAGTATATTCAAAAGAAAAAATTATATTCGTAAAAGTTTTTTGAAAATTTGGAAAAAATATTCCGATTACAATTTTTTTTACTCGGGTAGGTCTTAAATCCTGCATCAATTGAAATTCGCGCGATTTTTTTTACAGCGACAACTGAAATCGGGAGTGATGAGTCAATTCGTGCAGTGATAGTAAAAAATATTCAAGATAAATTTTATTTATTGATATCTTTTGGCTTCAACCACTTATTCGCAATTGATAATGATCTCGAATTATAATTTGCACCCAAAATTAATTGTCTCAATTAGTGTCATTGTTGAGGAATGTGAGGGAAGGGCACTGATAAGCCCTGATGGCAATCAACCGGTATCGTCACACATCGCTATCAAATAATACCGCCGTAATCTACGAATTAGCGGCATATCACCGGTAACAGCCTCTGATGTAAATGACTTTTTAGGAATTAGAGGGATTAACAGAGAAAAGAATTTGCATATGCGCATGGTGAATGTTTCCTGGAGGTCCGCCCACTCCAGTGCAGCTTTTACGTTTTGAACTTTCCTCGAACCGGCGGAATGCACGTCGTCATCCTGGCACTTTTGCCGGGAATTATTTTTCCGTTGGTCTGTGCCGACAACTACGTAATTTTCCGCGGTGTTTGCTGTATGACTCAAACGGGGAAAGCCAGGTGGGAAAGGGTTGCAGCTAAAATGGGGAATTGGCGGTCATCATACGAAGAAGAAAATTACGAGAATTTATTACAATCCAAAAATGACGATTAATAGGGTAATTAACGAAATTAGAAAAGATCTTGTATACGTATCGCAGGGTGATTCACTGATGATTATTTATTTGAATAGATTGTGTATTTTTTATCTGTTACTTTAATTCGGTGATGATTCATGCACCGAAATTTGGGATTTCTACCGATTACAGTGTCTGGCGCAATGATTCATTGACTCATCAATCAGATCTTATATCATGCGTGTGATCGGCGAGTTTGATTTTAAAAAGGTGTCGAGTGGAATTTAGAAACTCATCCCTACTAATCTCAGATTTTTTTAATATTCTGAAAACAATTTTCTCAATTTTCTGTGATGTTGTGTCAAGTCCCAGCAGTAATTACACCCTCGGATGATTTTAGAACTGCCGAAATATCGAGTCTATGGTAATCCGTCAATGAATTTTTAACAGATTACACCGCGCGTGCCCCGAATTTCAACAATCGGTGTAATTCACCGGATGACACCCAAAGGAAGAAACGTGTTATCAATGAAACTACAAATACACCGGACGCACGAGTGCAAACGTTGTACGGTAGTGTTACTATTCTTAGCTGGCATCGGCATTTATTTGTTTGCTGAAATGATACGAGGCATTTGCAACTCCCCCACTTCCTCCAGAGAATAACCCATCGATACGTCACAATTGACGAATAACTTGTGATTCAATGATTGCATTTCGTCACGTATTACTCATGTTTTCGGGGTTTTACGAGCCCCTGGTGACGTCTGTTTCCAGGGATTTATCGATTCGGAGAGGGTGGCCCACCACCTGGTGAATGCCAGCATCCAGCCATGGATTCCTGGTAGAGTGATGGGTCCGCTGAGAAAGCTGGAGTCGATGAAAAAAAATTCCCTTTCCCTCCGATCATCTGGTTTATTCGTCTTATGGGTGCGATTAGTTTGTAATTCAATTATTGGAACTGTGAAACCTGAACTTTTAACAATTTTTTTTACTCTTGTGATGGAAATTCCAATAAATAATAGCAGGTTAATAATTTCGATGTGCCGTGTGATGTATCGCGCAAGTCCTCGCACATGCACGTGGATAATAAAATTCGCCCAACGAATCCCTCATGGGCGCCTGATATGTACAATTAAATAACGAGATTCTGTCCATTTAGATGAATTTAACAATAAAAAAAAATGTGAGTTATAAAAAATGGGATGGAACGGGTAAATAAAAGAGACAGTCATTTACGAAATGGTAACGTGGTATAATAAATAGTTTATCATAATACAAATAAGTATATGTATGCCCAATAAATACACTATCCGTAAAAAAAACATTACAATAAATTGAAAAATTATTCTATTTTCATTCGCGAGTAGAAAATGGAAATATTAATGATAGAATTTTATCCGGACGTTAAAATAGTCGCGGATAATCGATAGCGTTTCGTCAACGGAATGTCTTATCAGTCGATGAATACGCAAATATTTCTGACTCGATGAAATTTCAATGAAAAATATTAGCGAGACCCGCCGAGATTCCACAAAAATCAATAAATCAATAACGATAAATTGGAAAAATTCATTGACTCTCGAATAAATTCAAGATCATATAAACATTCATCCAAAATCTTACGTTGACAATATCACAGCTAATAACTTTAAGCTCGTCTGTATCGCGCGTTAAAGCTAGAACAAATAAATAATTTTCCTATTTCATCCGAGCAGTTGTTTATGGAACGTGGAATTACCCGCAAAGTCACACGAGAGTTAAACACTCACTGCGTTAAGTATTTTACAATGAAATAATTGTCCGAATATTTATTCACTGAATGCATCATCTCCCCTGTAATACTGCTTATTAAATCTTAAATAGCATTTTTATAATACTGGTTTCAAGTCCATGGATAGTGTGGATACCCTGGTTATTAAGTTCTTTGAAAATTCAGGATTAGATCGACGTGTCCTGTAATAACTGACATCTTAAAAAAAATCAAATCGTCAAATACATTTTGAGCATCGAAACTCCTCAAGATGAACATGAAAAATGGAATAAATAACTGATGATTTTCCCCCGCGAGTCGTCAAAAGGTCGTCTTAATAAAAATAAAGATCGGCCGATGAATTCCGTCGGAATAATATTCACTGGCCGATTTTCCGTCGCCGATTTCTCATGAGCCGTCGCCGCATGCCACGTCGTCGGGCCTGAATTAGTTCACCATTGGGCCCGACGCTGTTCTCCTTTCTGAATTGACCATTGGGATTTTTCTTTCTCTCGTGATTCGGCCTCTTTTTCATTCGCATTATTTTCTTGGGGTTTTTGGGCTTCGGCCGGTAAGCGGACAGTGGCTTAACAGTGTTTGGATCGCATGTACCCGGTCCGGTGGCTGTTGCATTGCGGAATGCACGGGTCCAGTCGTTTAAGAAAGCTTGATAAAGTCGAAGGACACCCCAGTCCTGAATAAGCATGAGTGTAAGATCGCCCTCGGTCGCCCAATCCGGACTTTCCGTGACAATCTTCGATTTGTGAACCACAGGTAGCTGAAGACCGAGATTTAGTATAGCCGTTTCAACTTCGCAGAGCATCTGGAAAGGACCATAAATTAATTAAACACCAGAACAACAGAAATGCTATTAAACACCCGGGTAAAAAAAAAATGTAATGGGAATATTTTCTCCAAATTAAAAAAAAATAAAAAAAGACAATATTGGGAAATAAAACAATTTTATTTCTGCGAAATGTTTTGAAAATTTTTTTAATCATTTTCTAGAAATTTTTACGAATATACATTTTTTTTTAAATTATACTGTTGTTTTCATACTTTTTGATTTTTTAATATTCTCAAAAAATACGCCATCTAAATGATAAAAAAAATATTCCTACTCAAATTTTTGAAAAACTTTTCAAAACCTTTCCGAGAAACAAAATGTTTTGTTTTCCGATTTTTTTTTTTCATAAAAAAAAAATTCTGAAAAGTTTCCCCGAAATTATTTGAAAATTTGGAAAAAATATTCCGATTTCATTTTTTTTTATCCAAATTCCATCTGAATTCTCATTTTTCTCTTCGCAATATCTCCGAAAGAGTAACCCACCCGCAACACTTCGTTCTGCATTCCCACGATAATATCATTCCGCCTATTGATCGTTCGGTCCACATCGATATTAGACTTCAATTGAAATTCCCTGAGTGAATGAAACGTAATAGCGAATCTCTGAAGTGCATCATGAAGTCTGGGCAGTGCATGCTCTGCCTTTTTGCTCTTCTCCTTGCACCACAATTCACTGTGGTACCACTCCAGCTGATTTTTCGGTAGCCATGTCATGTGGTACTGACCCTTGAGTACTTTATAAACCTGCGAAGTCAATTTGACGCTGATAAATCCTGCAATTATTACCATTTTTCGGGGGGATTGTCATTTTTCTGCTGTCGCTCTTTATTATTATTTCAGTGGCTGAACATTCGATGGGATAACCCACTGTCAACAATTCCGAACAATGAGAGGAATTCCGAGGGACAATGCTTGTTTAATAAGTCATCAGGTGGAGTGTTGAATCATGGGGTAATGGAGAAGCTTTTGTAATAGATACGCGTGGAAATGCGCAGCATGCGGCGCAACTGCTTGACTTGCATGGTATATAGACTAAACAATATCTCAGTTGACATTTTTTTTCAGGCGCCATAAGGTGCCGAGAGACTGGCCAATTGTTTTCAAAATAATAGGATTTTATCCGACCGCTCAACTCCACGATTTAATTATCTTATATAAAAAAAAATGATGGGTTCGTATCGTGGAAGTATTTTGTGATGAATCCTCGGGCCCCGATTTGGGGCCTAAAATTGTTTTAAATTTTTCATACAGAGGTATCGGTTTACCTTGGAATAAATATCATGAACGTCTTTAAGATCTTTTCTGAAATGATTCTGAGCTACTCGAAGTTGCGTTCGCACTCGTTTGAGGGCGCGATGAACGCTGTGCCTTTGAGGTGACCTTTTTAGGGCTGCCCCTAGAGGAGTTCCGCAGGGTTGCTCCCAAGGTTCCATCGGATTTGTCTGAATATCGGCAAAATTCAAGCCGTATTGGGGAACAGTTGTGACACCACTCAATCCAGAGCTCAGGAATAATGCCAGGCTCGTCAGGGTAGCCGTTTGTGCTACCGGATCTGCAACACACAGAGACAACAATTAATTATCATTGGTATTTCTGATTTTACTGAAGATAGAAATTGCGTTTATGTCCGTGAAATGGGGCGTAACGTTATTTTCTTATGAATAATTATCATTTTGCGGTACCGAAATTACGGTACTCTGTACCCCGATTTCGCAAGCATGGGGGTGTGCGTGCGCATAAATTAGGGCCTTACTCGCGATATTTCTGTATCTTTATGTCATCACAACACGGTTTTATAAATTCCCCTGATGCTGATAGGGTTGTACCTGTGGGCAAGTCGTTCACAAGTTCTCCGGCACTTCAAGGGAGATAAAAAAATATTTGTGAAGATCGATGTAATCCGCATGAATCGAGATATGGCGGCTGTAATCTCGTTACTCACGGCTCATAAGACATAATTACAAAGAGTCAATCTTTCAATCTCTCTTGGGTCTATTCAATAAATTCTCGCTTAAAAAATCGGAGGAATGAAAAAAATCGAGGTTATAATCACTTCAGTACACCGACGCCATCACCAGGTGGTGCACTAGTCAATGGTAATTGAAAGAGCTAGAAGAAATCGAATGCATTATTTGGATGGGAAATAGCGGATCGTTTAATAACGGAATAAATTTCCCAATTTTTTTATTGAAAATGAAGCAAGAGGCGGCGCCACGCACGGCAAAGGGAATAACACCGGTGCTTCTTCCGACTTTCACACCCGGCAGAATTTCATTCACGTGTGGGTATTGGCTGCATGTATAAACTAAAATCCTCCGAGCATAACCCACGCTTATCCGCGATGAAACCGCCCCCGCAGTAGGAAATAGGTTGCAAATCGGAGAATCACGATTTATTGTGCAATTAAATGCCCCGGCGGGCAACTTCCTCCAATGGTCAACCACTTCCTCGGTAAAATTCGTTCGCCCGGATTGACTCCAATTTTTTCCCCCAATCCGATCCATTAAATTATTATCCACGGAAGTCGTTAATCCTCTGATTGGATATAATTTATGAAAATATCGCATGTTAATTGGTACCACCAATAAAAACCTACGCAGTTGAAATCAAGTGCTCAAAATGACTCATCAGTGCGTGTGACACGTCTTAAAAGTGTCCTAAAATCGTAATCCCAGTGGTGAATCGTGAGTTAAGACGCGTTTTACGCCAGCCGATTGTTCACAAGATAGATCGGTGTGGGCAGGAGGTGTTATACATCGGGCAAAACACGGTGAAACAACTATAGCGCCCCGGTGTACGGGTGAGCGAATATCGTATCCCTATCCCTCGTACAACCCGCGTCTCCGTTAATTCACAGAGGCAGCGGTTTTGCAGGTATATGAAGGGTTCCAACATCAACATCCCTCCACCTCCAGTTGGCGTCGCCGCAGTTTATAGGTGGGTTCTCCTGTATTCGATTTTCGGATACCCGCAGACGCAAAATGCAAATGTTCTGCGCGCGTCTACTAATCTGTCTGGAACATCCGCCGGCGACTTTAACGACCGACTAGGACATATCGATTTTATTTATTTTTTCCTCTCCATATTTTCGGTGGTTTATTTTTTGTTGGAGTTTTTTTTTTTATTTTCTCTCCTCGATTTTGGGTTTTTGGAGTGAGGAGGGAACGAGAAGAGACAGATCTTCCGCGTGGTCGAAGCCAGTGGAGAAAGCACTGACGCCCCTACCTCAGCATTCACTCAATTATTCAAGTTTACATTAACATTTTCATGCGCCAGTAACTAATGCCAGCGTCCTACGGACACCGTTGTAATTTGCCTCATGCATTGGCTTTGAAAGAATGCAGAGTTGGAGTGGGTAATGCACCGTGTGGATGTGCACTCGTGTCGCGCGTATTCTTCGATGATAAAGAGGTGAATGGAGAATTGTTCGGTGAGATATTGCATTGGAGGAGGATTCAGCACGCGTCCCACTGATTTGTGGGCAAAACAGGACATAAGTTTATTGAGCAAGTGGTGGAATTAAACGAGGGAGAGATTTAAGACATCGATTCTGCCATAAACTCACCTCCGACATCAAAAAATATATCAAACCAACACATGCGAATAAAAATATCGAGGTATTACGTATTATCGAGCAATTTGGGACACTCCAGGGATCTTTATCTCTGAAGGAATTAATTATTTTATTATAAATTATTATCATTCGTTTTGAAATTCAAGAGAATTTATTGAAGAATGAAGGAGTTGTAAAATGGCCCAGAGACTAGACAGCCACAAACATATGTTTGAATGAAACGATGTTCTTGTAGATAAGTATATTCGTCTTAAAGTGTCCTCGATGGTAGAGAGCACGGTTGTTTCTCGGTTGTTTGTACAGCGGGTTTTTGTGCTTTCCCCGGCGACAATGCTGCAATATTTACTGAAAAATGACCCTCGAGGACATCGCGCGTTGTCTCTGTAATGCAGGATTAAATCGAAGTATTTGAAATAATTTAGAAGTCACGATATTTAAGCCATTTAAGACGTTGGGACAATATGGGACATTCGAGAGATGCGGGATATCGAGAATGTAATTAATATTTGGAATTGATCATGAGGTTAATGAGAATTGATTGAGGTCTTAATTAAGACGACTTTGGGACATGATTTTTTTTCCACTGAAAACGATCGTTTATGCTGTTGGGCCCTTTTCCCTCTGGAGAGCAATGGCTCGACTGACGAAACGAAGGAAGCGAAGGTGGAGGTCTAATCACCACGCAATCACCGCTCCCGGTGAGGCCCGACCCCGGACCCGTTCCCAGAATAATGCGCTCCCGCTCTGGGCCCTCGGGGCCCCTATTCCACAGCGCAAACGCAAAACCAACAATCTTCGTCCTTCCCCACGCAGAAAAAGTACAAAAATTGAAAATAAGGGAACAAAAATGATGAAACATTCGATGGACACGCTCTCTGCAGCCTAAGCCCCTCGTGAGGTTAACGTCTTAAATTAAGCCACGCTGAGTCTCAAGGCTTAAGACACTTGGAATCGAATGAGCCTTCAACAGAGTGGATTGAAATCATAGACAATCATATTGACGATACGGAATAAGACTTGACACTGGCCCGTCTTAAATTAAGCCACCTACAACCCACCAGCTGTCCCCCCAGCTGTCGAGGTATTATTACGTGTTCAATCTTGTACACGATGTACCATGTAATTTACTGTTGTAAGTCACTGACGATATGGATCAACTGATGTCATTTATACCAGTCTTTTGCGCCTGATGTCATACAGCGTTTATATCGAGAGGTGACAATTCAAGAATTATAATAACGGAGTTGCAACCTATCGAAGCTATTAACCACTCTTTAATACCTCGTGAAAACCACTCGTACACTGGGCATAATTTAATCACCATCGATGATTTATTTGACAGCTGATAAATTTCACGCAAATTGTTTTACGCGGCTCTTATTGACAGGGAATTGTAAAGATCAGGGGGTCAGGCCTTGAATGTGGTAATTCAAAACACAAGCAACTGGTGGCTGTCGCGCGCGCACCGCCACCGATCATTGAACTTGACTTGCGCTCGTGTACACAAACCGAACAATCGCAGTGAATCAAAGTTGTCGGTGGTCAGGCACAATTCCGTGAAACTACTCCACCCACGATTGAATAGCCAATGGGTAATAATCGGTATTGATTCAAGGTGATTTTTACCTGGCAATATTTATCGTCTCCCATTTCATTCCACCGATTTATCCATTAAATCTAACTCTCCAAAAATATCGTGCATTATTATTACGTACTCGTTTTAATTTCTATGTGAAAACATTTATTTTCAATATTTTTTTCAGCGGCGGATTATTCGACAAAGAGATCGAGGACAGCAAACAAAACCCGTGTGGACATGACGTGAGACTTATCGAGAGGAAGAGAAGTCAATAAAAAAAAAGCGACGGTGGAATTTTTGCCCTCACAATTGAATGTCTCGGAGATAATCGGTTGTTTGTCCACCCTCGCACTAAAGATTTTGCCGATCACAGTGATCGATATATGTGCGTTTCGATCGTGGGTTCAATTGCTGGTTATTTATCCCCCGGGTTTTATAGGATAATAGCACCTGGCGTGGACACGCGTCGGTGGGGCATTATCGATTGCTGTTTATCACCGAGGGTGTATCATGTATGAGAATGGATAACAACAAATATATCGAGGCATGAATGAACGCCTGTAGCTCTGGGAGTTCCGACGGTCAAATTGATCATCAGGATTAGGATTAAACCTTGTCAATTGCTGATTTTAATTAAGACTATTTTAATCCGCCATTTCAATTTCTGTTGAAAGGATTTACCCACGGCGCCATCGGACGGCACCTCTGATTTGGGAGAAATTCATGGCTAATAGTCGTAAGGAAAAAAAAGGAGATGTGTAATAAAATAAAAGTGTGCACAACGGATATTTTATTTTAATTTTTCAAATGATAGAACTCGACACTGGTAAAATCCATAAAAAAAAGAGGGATGGCATTGCGGGCGGTTTCAACACAATCTCATGCTCTCGTGTGCGTACAGAAAGTGAGGCAATGTTTAAATTACACGGCCGGCTTTACGATGCCCTCGGCTCTGTCCTCCCTTCCTCCACTCAAAAATCCCTGTCCTACAACCGCCTACCGTAGCAATTACAGTGCCTTGTGGCTACGCGTCGCGTACGCACAGGATTTTTTACAATACATTACACATTTCCGTAACGCCTTCGTGAAACGTCGGCACCTATTGCCGACGTTTCAACTTCGACCGCAGACACTCGGTAATTACGAAAAAGGAAAAAAAAAAATGTGTAATAATAAAAATTACATTTTTCGTTGGAAATTGTCAATTGTGCGGAGTTGATTCATGAATACGGATATGGGATTGTGTGGGGCATGAATGGAGACACTTATGATTGGATGCGCACCGGTGAAACAATGGGCCTCAGAGAGGAGACTTATTTTTTTTTTTTCAAGTGACTTTATGCTATCTCCATTCATCCGTCGCCAAGTGTTTTATAATAAACAATTTTCGATAATTGAAGGAAAAAGTTGAACGGAGCGAAACCGGAATTTCTCCTCCGGGATAAATCCCGCAAATCATCAATTCACTTTAACGATCTCCGTGAAACGTTGGTAATTGATATTAATTATTGAATAAAAATAATCAGGATGACACACGACAAATCGAAGTAATCAGTATCCTCAACCCCCACGTGCCCACACAAATCGTCCTTCATTGCAAGAAGGCGTAACCCACATACTCTGCCATCGCTGTTGGGTTCACCATTAAACCGATTAACGTATCTCAAATGTGTCGAGTGACTGATTGTCCACTGAGTGAAAATCATAAACGACTTGTTCCATAACGTAATCCAAACCCCGCGCCACTGCCGATTCGATGATATAAAGACCCGTTGGTGCATGAAAAATTTCAATCGCTGATACGTCCAATGACCAATCGAGTGGCATTACTTTGTTATCTGTCGTGGGATAATTTTTTTCTCACTGCCATAACGACTTAAAAACGGTATGCAGTGTTTTTGTTGCTGGAAGTAATTTAATGACAGGCTCAGTGCCAGGTGTTTACGACTTTTTTTTTTCACACCCTTCGACAATTAAAGATCATTTCCAAGGTCTTCCGCGGTGAATACAATTATTTCACAATGGGAAAAGAGAAATTTCTCGGTATTATTCAGTTTAGTATCAGTTCGCTCTGTTTCATTCAGGGTGAAACTACAATTCCGGTTATGAAATCAAGTGATTGGTGTCACAAATTGGAACAATTAAGACTGAAATAAAAATACTAGATAAAAGCGTAGAAATACTCAACTATATTTTGCACGGCGTGAAACTTCATACCGGTAATAAAATCGTCAGATTTGAGATCGACTCTCCATTATTCATGAGAATATTTTTATTTCACGGTAGAGTGGGGCCCAGTGACCCCGAGTAAATAGTTAACAATTCTCTGGTCTCAATCAGAGATCTCGCCTATTTGTTGGGATCCATTGGTTTTCCGACGGACGCGTCGGAATATATCACAGGACCGTGGCTTAAAGAGGGTTCACCATAGAGCTGTCTTTTAAATAAAAAAAAAATAAAAAAAACCATAGAGCCCCTCTGTTTCCTATGCCACTGCCCCACCCCCACCACCCGCTGCGTAGATCCCTCGATCTCTCCTTTTTTTTCCAACTTTTATTCTTTCTCTATATTTTTTTTTTCTCTTCCTCTCCCGAGGAACGAGTGAAAATCATGCACATACGTCATGCGACTGGTGTATTAGTGAACAACTCGCACGCACGTCTCAGACCTCGTTTAGTCCGTTTTTTTAACCCCTAATTTTTATCCTCTCAAATTTCACCTCAAAATGATGCATAATTTCTTGGTTTATTTGGAGAGTATAATCCAAAATATTAACATTCCCTTGAGAATTAATCCGTTGGCACTTCATCGATTTGTGTGATGAGAGTAATTAATTGGACATACAATAGATAGATCGCGATCGGTTTGATAATCGGCAATTGGTGACTCATGAATTGATACATCGGTGGATTTTTTTACTGATAAGGACGGGAGGCGTGTCAGACGGATATTTTGGAATATGACAGACAAGATGTCGAATGCAGTAGATCAAAGAGATTTATGAAAATATTTTAATTTAAATCCCCGCGATCGTGTCATATCGTTATCTGGAGATTTGAGAGAAGTCATTGAGGGACTCGCTCATTCGTATTTGATAAATAAAACTGGTCGGTCTTTGAAATGTGTTTACCCACGCTTTTGTAAATGTGATGTTGTGACGCGCCGCGGCGACGGCCCTCCTGAGAGAGTCAGGACACTAGGGCCCTTGATCCCTCCCAATGTGTTCATTTCGTATCCTCCAGGGTATCCTCACTCCAACCGTTGTTTCGTGCAAACAATCGTGTGTGTCCCGTGACAACAGTGACAGCCATACCCTATCTATATAGCACCTTCTCAAATTCGGAGATAACAGGTGGTTTGGAAATGTCAAGTATGTAAATAACCATTTTTTTTTTTTATTTTTTAGACCGTTCAAATTGGGAGGATTAAATTTCATGGATGATCCATCTATTTCATGTCGTCGAAACATTCCCGAGAAGCCAAATAAACACAGATCGCGGTGGTCTAGGCGTTGGGGAGATACGGCTTTGATGACGGATTCGGTTATCGCTTAGTCATAAAATGGTCCTACTTTTTTTTTATTGATTCGCTGGTGATTGACGTTTGAGATATAAAATGGGATTATCCAGCGATTTTTCTATTGAGTTTTGGGGGACTTTTTTATTTTAGTTGGGTCATTTTTTAATGGAGAGCAACGAGGGGACAATGGGCGGGCCGAAATTGTTTACGACTTTTGGCCGTTTTTAGGACCCGTAATTAAGACGGAGATTTTGGAATGTGAGGAGTTCATTTTGCCTGATGAAGTTTGAGATAAATCACTGCAAAAACTGATGTCTTGAGGTTAAGTGAAATTAAAGAGATTCTAGGTCAATTTTAAGACATTTAGGACGTGAGAATTAATAAATTGGAGACAATCTCAGAATATTTATAGGACAATTTTCAATTCAATTTGTAGTTTAAATTTTGAGCAACATGGCAATTTGTAGGCACTTGATGCATGCTATTGATCGGGTCGAAATACTGTCTCAAATTAAGGCCCTTAAGCCGCGGTGAATTGATACGGCTTAATTTGAGAATGAAATTGAGACGTGAATTTTTGCAGTGACAGAGTAACTATAATCGAAGTATAAAATTCAGCAATGTACACACACCGCCTTATTGTGGCGAGGGCGATAACACCGGCCACCAGCAGACCGTAGATCATCTCTTCCTCTTTTTCCAGTGTCTGGAGTGTCGCCGTCTTCTCCGAATGACACCACCACGTTCTAGCATCCACTCGCGCACTTGATTTACCCCGAGACGTCGACGATCAATCAAAATTCAGGGTCTAATCACCGAATTCTCAGGATTTACCGATTCTTCACCAACAGATATGGTAACGCATCAATGATCAATATCTAATCGCGTGGGGCTCGGCAAATCGCCGTCGGCATGACGTATCAAACGCTTAGCTCCCATTATCAATTATTTTCACCGAAAAATCTTACGCCAATATTTTTTGTCGATATCAACCGATTTTTAATCACCGAACGATCGTTTGCGATTTAAAAAATGTTCCAAATTCAACGAATAATGTTCACCTGTCGAATTATTACCGATCTCGAGGGAATTTCAAGCACTAGGAGCATCTACTGACACCGGTTGGATGTCCTATTCAATCAATCGAATACCCGTCAATTTTCACCGGCCGATTTATTACCGATCTCGATCGATTTTCTGCACAAAGTTATTGACTGAAATCACACGAATGTCTCGTCCATTTATTTCGTATTTGGAAGATCGTCACTCGCCGATTTTCACCGATCTCAACCGATTTTCATACACAAAATGATGGATAAAGATTGGGGAAATATATATTCTATTGGAGATTGATAAAAAAACGGCTATTTGTACATTGACACGATACGACACGTCTGACCATTCGGTTTGCCGATCTCGTGGTGACTGAGAGGGTCCCGTGGCGACTCCCAGTTACTCACTTGTGCGGACCTCACTACTCACTCACCGCCTCGGTTCCACCTCCTTCCTCTCCCTTCTTTCCGCACTCTCCGGGGCTCCTCCAGCCACCTTTTTTTTTCCCCCTACCCGTTTTGTCGACTCGAAGGCAACCGGGGCACCTCTTGCAGGTCTCTCTCAGCCTCGATGCCACCCTCACCGCGCGCGCGCTCGATATCGCGCTTGTGTGGGGATTTGCGAGAGTCAGGGGAGAAGTGTCCGACCCCCCGAGGAGGGGGGAACAAGCGAATTTCATTACACGTGTCATTAAACGCGAACAACGACATCTCATACTTGTTTTCATCTATCATTCAACTGAGCGACTTTAATCCACTTTTTGAGACGTCCCAAAATTTAAGGCCCTTGAGACATTTTTGAGGTACTTCAATCCACTATTGAGACGCCTCAATATTAAGACATTGCTTTAGAACGTTAATACCGATTTGTGTCGTAACGGTTCGACGTCTTACATCTCTAGAGGTCTTTGTTATTCCCTCGTTGCTACAGACGTCGATGATAATCAGGTGAATTAAAAAAAAAGACATAACTCGAGTAATTGTCGAGGTGTATTTGCTAGTGCTCCTGTCATTTCACATACCAGGCATACCCATGACTATTGCAATCGGTGTCAGTAATTCAACTTAACAATTTTTCACGGTGCTACGTGATGTTGCTTATGTACAATGTTTAAGTTGTACTCAAGGCAATGGTTCGTTACACGGCGTATCTCGTGTATATTCCACGGATTCGAAAACATTATACTTAAGGCTCCTAATGACCCCTCAATCAGGCCAGTATTTTACAACCATTGGTGCACCACGGAATGATTCAAATATTGCGGGATAAGATTTTCTCACTAATTCTGAAAATGTATTAAATTGATACGCCTTTACGACAAGTCTCTATGCAAGTGCCTCGTCAAATTACTCGTTAAACATTTATTTGGGACAGTTTTATTTAAGTTTGAAGTGAGATATTTACGATCGTAAATTGGGACGGTTTTGGGACCCGAAGAAAAACTACGTCGACACTATAGTTCCTCGAATGAAGGTTACAGTATATTAGTAATTGTCATAACAATCACAAAAACGTCACAGATAAGACCGATGACGCGGTGTAAATGTAGCACGATAAGAACCAGATTTTTAGGTGACTTTAAATGGTTCGGACGATCCTCTCCCGCCATCCAGACATTCAATTTAATGACGCGTGCGAAAGCCACTTAACCCCACGTCGTTCTCGACGTATGCATTCCCTCCCAAAGGATCGAACCACCTCACCAATTACCGTGTCACGGCGTTAATTAACTATCCATCTCTTGCGGGTGTGTACTCCGTATTTCAATTTTTACTCTCCTCGGCATTTGTATTCGTCTTATGTACACCGAAATCCTCAAGGTGCAGTAATTTTATGAGTCACTGGCATCGATCGCACCGACACCCATTTATTTTCTGTGAAATTCGCCGGTTCGTCTAGGGCAAGTGCCCGCGATACCCAATCATTAAAAAAACATTTTGTGATAATGGGTACATTATCGTTAGTCATCGGTTTTCCGAGGGATTTCCCAGTGCTTCACCGCGCAAGACCTTTATGTAATGCACCGGAAGAATTTTTATCGGTTGAACAATAACAACAGGAAGATCGAGAGATTTGGATCGGTTGAGGAAAATATGAGAGATTTCATTCACGCCTCGGTGGATTTAATCCTCAAAATAATTTACTCAAAACTTGAAACTATGGTTGTGATAAAATATCGTGATAAAATTTTCCGATCGGGGAAATATTTTTTCTCCGTATCTCAAACCTGATCGGTTAGTCAACATCAGGTGAATTTTACTTTTCACTTCTATTTTCGGTGGATCAACAAATTACCGGTACATCATGTTTTATTTATCGCAATCAAGTGCCACATGATTCATACAGATAACGATTTTCTCGGTAAACACTGCGAATCACACGGAGTCACTGACAGCGCAACTCCACAAATCATCGAATTCATAACAAAACTCACTGACATAACATCCAAATATCGGCACACTATCTCGAGCTGACAAAGTGTCATTTAATCAGTAGCGCAAATCCGTTGAGGTGTAGATCATCAGGTGGTATACCGATAAAACGAGTTGTCAACGCCCAAAAAAAAATCGATGACACCGCATTAACGATCATTATCATTTCGATACCTCAAATTGTTTATATTTTTTAAAAACTCACCTGTTCGCATTCTCTGGTGGTCCTCCGATCGCTTGGGGGTTATTCTCCGAATGGTCAGGGGGTGAATGAATATCGGTAATCGGGTCAGTCGGTGGCGCACGCGAGGGAATAAACTCGCGGAGACCAACTCACTCGGGTATTAATGAATGACTAGACTATGAGTGGAACTATGAATGAACTCCGCATGGGTAGTTGTACCCGTGTAACTGTGCAACGTGTGGGCGTCTGGGCACGACAGCCAATCGCACAGTCTCGCAGGTCTATCCAGAGTTGAAATTATTATTGCACTGGTTTATTCAGTTTATTTGGTCTATCCGTTTAGTGGTGTCATCGCCGGTGACAAATCGATAAAAAATTATCTCAACGGGTTATTAATTGTTTCGTTTATATAGCCGTCAGCTGTGATCGCGCCACCAACCGGTGGCGTCCCTGCACTCGGTGCATCATAACCTATTTTAATTCATATCAGATAAATGTGAATGATTATCTGTTGATTGTTGGATATTGATGGATATATTTCCGAGGATGTCATTCGGGGAATGGTGACGTCATTTCACGAAATTCGCGAGTGAGAGAGATCGATAATCGCAGGCGATGAGCTGGCCCTTGGCGCCGGCAGGCCTACAACTACTCGTCGATTAGATTTTATCGGAGGTACATTCCGATTGCATGACTTTGTCAATTATACTTGAGCTGTTCTATTATTCGCGCCTGTATATGGTGACAATTTCTATTTTATTTATCTACCGGAATTTAATTTCATTTTCGACGCTTTTTACTGGAAAAAAAAAGGAAAAATTTTTGCAAAAGACACGGCATTTTCACGTCGTCCTAAATTTTGCGATGGGAATGGGATTAATTAAATTAATTTATTAATTATTTTTGGGGTGGGATATTTTTGTATGGGAGAATTTTCTAGTGTCTCGCGAAATTCATGTCCTATTTTTTGGAGTAATTAGCGCTTTGTGACAATTTTGTACCGGAGAAAAAATTTGTATTAGAATAAATTTAACTTGAAAAAATTTTTATTTAGCCCCTGGCCCCAAAGATTAGTGGAATCGCTGAAGAACTGGTTCTCCCCACCAAAAAAATTATGAATATCATACAAATCCGGTCGCGCTGTAATCTCAATTAATTAATTCAAAGTTGTCCCACCGCCCCCCAGTCCCCCTCGAGGTTTTTCATTTCAGAATAATCATTCACGTGACACTTGGCACCTCGGATTACCGCCATAACCGTCAGAGATCGTCCAAATATTGGGACTACCTCCGAGTCTAAAATTTCTGACGTGCGACTAGTCCCAAAAAATCCTATAAATCCCCCTCTCCATTTCGTCCCCTATTTTTTCGTCTGAAAAATAAAAAGGGAAAAAAATAATGAATGTGTCGCAGAGGGAAGTGAATTTTTCTCTTTGTATTTTATTTATTCTCCTCTCCCTTTTTTTTTTTGGATACAAACGACTTTGGAATACAGTGGATGCGTGCGAATTCGCTCGCCGTCAGGGGGCGTCGGTTTCTCAAACGGTGTGTACCACCATCCCCATCCCCATCCCCATCCCCGTTGGTTTATCTGATGGCGGTGGCAGCGAAAAGTTCTCTCGGGGTTTGTGTGTGCGTCGGCGCAATCGCGCTGTCAAACTCTATCCCGGAGCAAATCTCTTCGGATTCCTGGGGGCGTCCCGCGGCGCCGAGACCCCCGTGCCATTGTTGCATTTGGGGATCTCAGTCGTCATTTTTTCCTTTTTTTTTTCCCACAAAACTATCGACCCGCTATAACTTATTATTGCCCAAAGCAAAAATTTAAAAAATTAAAAAAATTAATCTACTCATTGAACAGCATAATTCACTTCCCGCGAATAATTAGATTAATTAATTAATACACCCACAGCTCCTGTCCTGTCGTAATTATTTATATTTATTGGATTATGTCCTGTAAATTCCCAATTGAGACATCAGTTTTAACTAGCTGATGTCAAAGGAGACTATCGAGTGAAAGAATTCCGAAGAAAAACATCCGGTCGCCAGTAAAATTTATTGGAAAAGGTGAGTGAGACCTCACCGGACCTAAATTTTCCTCTAACGAGCTGTTGCATTGAATGGACAAATGCATTCTTTTACCCATCTCGTGAGAGAGAGAAAAAAAAATAGTGAACCCCGGCGACACTCAAATAAATACATCTTTTCCTCGGTGAGAAGAATAGATCCTTTCTCCGCGGGCCTCTTTCGGATCGGCCACAGGATCGGGTCGTCCTTTGTTACAGAGGGCACAACCACTTCAGGGTCAACTCCACGTGTTCCCACGGGATATACCGCGGAAATGAAGACGACCTTCGAGACCAACTCCACGGATAGCAGTCGCGCCCATCTGCGTCTCAAAATAATTTCGAAGAAATTGACACATCCGATTTTTCCACCGATTTATTTCATATTTATCAACAATTTTATCCACTCGATAGAATTATCCACGAAAATTGCTCTCCAAGTGGATGCATGTCCTGGTCGATGGCAATTTTTTTTTTACATCCTTTTTTTTTCTCTCCAAAAGCAAACCAGCAACATAACCTCACGTGCAGTTTTTCGTTTCGCAGAAGGATCGATGGATTTTGCGAAAAATGGAGCGTGATTTGTGCGGACAGGTATAAAATGCGGTGGTCAATGTATAAAACAACACTTGGGCGATGTGTTTACGGGTTAAGATGTCGTGCGTTGATGCCGAGACAGGTTGACAGGGGCTGAACCAATTA